AGATTGACAGTACTCTAGCCCAATAATGTTGGGGGATCCAGTGGGGGCGGCAGTCATATTTCAGGGTGACCGTGCCACTCTTTATCACAACCCTGCTTAAAGTGCCAGTACGTGCGCTCATTGGCGCCCCTTCAGCTGGTGGCGCCCTAGGCGACCGCCTAGCTCGCCTATGCCTAGAAACGGCCCTGTCTCAAATGATAATATAATAAATGCCAAAGCAAAAAATCAGTTATTAATCAGGACATCTGAACGTCTGCTTCCTAGAAATGCTATGCACTTAACAACTGAATAGGCTTTCAAAGCAAGAGGGAAGCGAGTCTGACAGTGGTATTTGGGCTGCAGACAGGACATAGAGAGTGTCAAAATTTGCATGTTTAATAACTGAGTTAAGCTGAAGTTCTTTAACCTCAAGGATTTTCATGAACCTGAAATAGAGCTGGATTTAAACAAACAAACATGAGGCTTATTTACTTACAACGGTTCAGTGAGTGAAACGAAGGTTCGTTGGTTGTATTATGGGGGTGTGAAACACAGTAGGCAGTCTGTCAGGACTGAGTGAGATGGTTTCTTAATTGAAGAGAAGCACTCAATGGAGTTGGTTGATGTCTGATTTACTGAAGACTTTGTGGGTATACATGTGTGTGGTTTCTGAAATGGATTAAACAAGAGAAATAAACTTAATGATATGAATATACAAATGTTCCACAATAAACATTAAAACACTAAACAGCACCCAATATAAATATAACCATGCTATATTACACTATTAGACGGCCTCCTACTCGAATAAGTCCAGTAACAGCATCAAGCTCCTGGGAGAGTGTGATCAGTCTGCTTGTAGACGATATAGGTTTCCCAGACTTCAGAAATCTCAGCTCATCGGGGAAGGACTCTGCTTGAGCTTGACGGAGGACTGCATGTTGAACATCCCTTTGGAGGTCGGCACTGGAGGTGTAGGCCGCCCCGTGAAGCTCCTGCCCATAAGCATTCAGGCACTCTGCCAGCGTGTCATAGTGCTGCAGCTTAGCTGAGGGTGTAGTAGTGGTCACTAACCCAAAGAAGGATGACTGTCTTAGTTCGCAGCTTGGCTCTTCAAGCGGTAAAGGAGGCTGCTCAGGCCAACTATCGGAGGGAAGCTTAAGGAGTGCCGGCCCCTGGCTCCACCGGCTTTCTTTGGAGAGATCTCCAAGAGGCTTGCCGCGAGTGATGTCATCCGCTGGGTTGTCTGAAGTTCTGACGTAGCGCCAGATGGCGGAAGCTGTCATCTCCTGAATCTCTGCTACCCTCGTTCCCACAAACACCTTGTAACGACATGAGCTGGACGTCAACCACCTGAGCACAGTGGTGGAATCAGACCAGAGCGTAGTGGAGCGGATGGGAATGGTAAGCTCTGTGGTCAGAAGCTGGGATAGCTGCGCTCCATTGAGGGCGGCACACAACTCTAGGCGTGGTATGGATTGTTGCTTGCGAGGGGCAACGCGGGACCTGGCGGCGATGAAGGCAACTTCGACTTGACCCTCTTTGTGCTCTATCCGCAGGTAGGCCACTGAACCGTACGCCTGCTCCGAAGCGTCACAGAAGATGTGGACGTCATATCTACAGGATGGGTGATCTTCGTGTGATTGAGAATAGCACCTGGGCAGAGATATCTCCTCCAGTCCACTCAACTCCTTCTCCCATTCGTGCCACGATGCAAGCAGTTCCTCAGGCAACTGTGGGTCATCCCAATTGCGCTTCTTGTCCCACAGGCGCTGCACTAGTATCTTAGACCGGGTGGTGTAAGGGATAAGATAGCCAAGAGGATCGTATTGGCTCGCTAGAACTCGGTAGATCTGGCGCATTGTTACGGAGGAAGAGCG